TATTTAAACTGGCGCTGCTGCTGGTGCTGCTGCTATTTCTTCGCAAGTAAAGAGGGTCTCCTCACTCATGCACATGAACTGGCAGGATTCGGGCGTTCCACTCCAAAAAGCCTCACCTACTCCAGTGCAATCGCATCCAGGCTCTTGGTCACCGGGATCGCAAGGATCTTGCGTAATCGCAAAGTGGTAGAGTGCAAAGGCGATGAGGACAACGAAGATGTATTTCATTTCTGAAATAGATTGTAATTGATTTCAATGGACCTTTTTTAATGCACATTCTAATAGTGTAAAGATACTTACTTGCTGTTTGGTGTTGGATGAACTACACGATGCATTCAAATTCTAAGCTTATATACACAGCTTGCAAAGTCAAAAAAACTCTGATTCATTTTAAAAACTTTCCCTATTTTGCAAAACCTGCGATTCATTATAATTGCAATTACTGCTTAATTATCGAAAAATAAGATACATATTTATGCTTTGCCTTTGACTCATAGCAAATTTGGCAATTACGATTTTTTTCCTTCCCCATTAAGTTATAATCCAAAAAGATTAGATGCCCTTTGCACTTGTTAAAAAACCACTTTAGAAGCATGGGCACCAATTTTTTATTAATTAGCAATTTTAATTTTTGCAAAATACGCCAGTCATGAATAAAACTGCAATAAATGTTAATTAAACTATTAAATAATGACGCCCTAAGCTAAAGAATGGTTTATGTTAATCTGTGAAGCATCGTAACGACTAGCGCCAATAGGGCTTATATTTGGATTGTGATTATTTAAGGGTTGACACGTCATGTATATTTAAAACAAATGGTCATAGTATGTACAAATATTTTTGCATATTTTTATCACTTTAAAAGTCTTCAAAAAGTCTTTAACAAACCTCAAGGACGTTCAAAAGCCTTTGGAGTTGCTTAAAAGTCTTTAATAATCTTTTAGATTAATGAAACCATAGAGCACGCAAAAGTAATAGTTTACTTTTTCGAGGAAACTTAATAACATGCCTATTTTAATGCCAAGGAAGCCGAATGCCGAGTAGTGGGTTGACTTACCCTATCAGACCCTTACTCTGCCTAGGTTTAAAACTATTGTATAGTGCTTAATGGTCTTAAAAAATATAGTTACGTTTTATTTTATTATTATGATTATTATTGAGAATTTATGCGAACAGAATTCGATTTTGTATAGTATATTAAGATACAAGTGTATAATCAAGTCTTTAAAGCACGCGCAACGAGTTTAAGGGCACGACGCAAAGCGGAGTGCCTTTAACGTTGCAAGTGCCTTAAAGACCAATTATACACGTGTATCTTATAGTATTTTTTATTATACCTGCAGTATAATTTAAAAATAGGAAATACAATGAAGTCATTTTGACGTTATACACGAATACATGTCTAATTAAGTGGGCTGGGTGTTTCACGATTGCCATGGAAATGTCACTTGACGTTTGCTTATAAAAATCAATCGTCTTTGTGAATTAAACGATTTCCGTTGAAAAAGATAATACACCGTCCATTAAATCGATTGTTGTAAAATCTAAAAAAACGTTGGTAGGTGTAAAATCCAACTCCAGTAAAGCCTATTATAAAGAATATGAAAAGTCCATGGATGAATAGGAAGTTACTTACGAATACAGTCTTAAATGCATCCATAATGCTGGCATATATGAAGGAAATGTCAAAGGTATTTAAATCTTCTATATTTTGGTGCATTCATTAAAAACTTTAAAGCAATGCTGCGATTAAAAAGTGGAACAGATTTGGAAGCATACCCTAAATTACGCGCGTTTGTGAAAGTTTCAACCAAAGGATAGGTACAAAAGCCAAGAAATGTTCTGCATTTACAGAAAGCGACCTAAGAGGATTTTTTATTTCATCCAGATGACAGTTTCAAAAGTCATACTTGAAGTATCGTTACTTAGAAACTTTAAAGCACGTGTGTTTTAAAGGCCCTTTTTCGCACGCATTTGAGTGTTTAAAACGGAGATTGTGATTCAGGTATAATAAAAAATACTTTTTTCTACAACTGTCAAAAAAACGTGTCATTTTCTGACGGATTTCGAAACGCGAAGTACTAGATTTTTAAACGGTTAATTAATAGGTAAGGTTGCTATTGACAACGTGCGCGAAATCGTCAACAGTGAAAAAAAGTATTTCGCGCACGGGAAAAAGTTGAACTTAAACAGCAATTTAATTAACAATCGGTTCAGTTGTAGAAAAAATATTGTATATAACGCTAGCGCGAAGTTATTTCGCGCATTTTAATGATATTTTAACTCGGCTTCGCCTCGTCAAAATACCTTCAGTCTCAATGCGCGAAATTGAACTTCGCGCTCTTGTTATATAAATAACTATTTAGTATTCAAATCCTTTAAAGTATTCAAATACTTTGTAATTAAATACTTTTATGGAAGCAGTATTTGTATTTGTAACTCAAATACTTTCACAAATATTTAGTATTCGAATACTTCGCAAGGTATTTTAATATTTTTACCAAAAATCGACTACACCAAAATTTCTCGGGAAAACACTTTTTCTTATTAATTTTGGTGCGTAGAATCCAAAACAATTCGTACTTTTTCGATCAGATTTCTCAATCAAAAGTTATAGACTAGAAACCAATTTCGAAAGAAAATTCAAAGGGCTGTAACTTTTGAACTACTAGCCCAATCTTGGAACTGTTTGAAATTATGGATTCTACAGGCCACATTCTATAAGAAAATTTTTTTCCGGGTCGATCTGAGACAATTTTTTTTTCGGGGCTCAAAAAAAGGCAGTGTATAACCTTCCTTTTTTACCAAAAATCGACTACACCAAAATTTCTCGGGAAAACACTTTTTCTTATTAATTTTGGTGCGTAGAATCCAAAACAATTCGTACTTTTTTCGATCAGACTTCTCAATCAAAAGTTATAGACTAGAAACCAATTTCGAAAGAAAATTCAAAGGGCTGTAACTTTTGAACTAGTAGCCCAATCTTGGAACTGTTTGAAATTGTGGATTCTACAGGCCACATTCTATAAGAAAATTTTTTTTTCGGGTCAATCTGAGACAATTTTTTTTTCGGGGCTCAAAAAAAGGCAGTGTATAACCTTCCTTTTTTACCAAAAATCGACTACACCAAAATTTCTCGGGAAAACACTTTTTCTTATTAATTTGGGTGCGTAGAATCCAAAACAATTCGTACTTTTTCGATCAGACTTCTCAATCAAAAGTTATAGACTAGAAACCAATTTCGAAAGAAAATTCAAAGGGCCTGTAACTTTTGAACTAGTAGCCCAATCTTGGAACTGTTTGAAATTATGGATTCTACAGGCCACATTCTATAAGAAAATATTTTTTTCCGGTCGATCTGAGACAATTTTTTTTTCGGGGCAAAAAAAAGGCAGTGTATAATAACCTTCCTTTTTTTTACCAAAAATCAACTACACCAAAATTTCTCGGGAAAAAACTTTTTCTT